AGAGAAGTCAAATTGATGCAAACTCAATTTCTTTGGATTCCTGACTCCAATTTCTATAAAATATCCAAATTTCATCCAAAAACGATGTCATATATGGGAAATATTATTTTTTAAAGATGACAACTGAATTCTGCCAGCAAACAGGTTTCGTGAAAAAATGAGTCCAAATTACATTTCGAAGCTTCTAAACCGACATCCAAGTTTTTATATCAGCAATTTAGCTCCTCTAAGTCAAAGCTTGAAGATTTCATGCAAAGCTATTTCTCTTTTTTAGGGAAAATAGTTAATGAAATACTTAAATGTAAACTACTAACATAAGGGAGGACTATTTTATAAAATAGAGACTAGGATTTCCTAGGATATAAAAAGAATGAGAAAAGAGAAGGGGGGTAGCCATCCAAGAGGATAAAAATCCCCCCCTCCTCTAAAAAACTAAAAAGTATGCATTCTTCATTCTTTAGGAGTAGTTGTTCAATAATTATGCAAGGCTAAGCTCTATTCTTGGTTGTAAGGACATAACAAACCTTCAGATTTCAAGAATCGTGAGATTTATTCTTCCTTTTATTTTCAGTTTATGTTACGAATGAGTATGATTATTTTTCTATGCATATTTCCTATGATTGTTGTTGATGATTGCTAGAGCGGACTCTAAGTTATTATTGTGAACAATCTATTGCTAAGTTTAATATCAAAACCGGAGTTGTGATATATGAACTTGTAAAGTAACTAAGCTTGGTAATTGTGGCGGAACTATGTTATTGAACTTAGGGAGAACATTTGAACAAAGTGACACAAGCTGCGGATAGCTTGTATGTTAATCTTGATGAAATAATCTAGTTCTTAAAGCTGCCATTAAATTGAATTATTAGTGCGAACACATTGATTGTTTGTTGGTTAGGATTAGTTATACAACGGATCCGTTAATTAATCAATGTTAAGAAAAGATAAAATTTCAGAACATAAACTGCAATTTTAGTTCCAAAGATCGGTTTTAATTTCTGTTGGTGGGTGTGTGCTTACGACCAAGGTTTGTTTTCTTGATAAATTTTGATATTGATTTTGTTTGCTAGTTTAATTTATTTTATAGTTTAGATCATCACAAATCAAAACCCCCCAATTGCATAACGTATAGCATAAAAATCTAAACTAAATATTCCTTGTGGGATTGACCTCTTGTTTGCTCTATATTATCTTGTGTGTTGTGTTTTAAGCTAGGGTAATTAATTTGTGCGACCACGACATCGCAACGTGTTCCTCTCTAGAACTTGACCTTGGAGCTTGCATGAGTAGGCTGATGAGTCTAGCAATGATGCCTTTCATGCTTTCTATCTTCCTTTGTTACCAAGCTTCCGATTAGTCCCTTTCCTTTTTTGCATCAATCTCTTTCAAAGGCAAGTATGGTGGATTTAGTGTTGCAGATAACCTATATTTCAATTTTTCTGGTAGAAATGAACTCATTAGCTTGGTTAATCAAAACCTTTCGTTGATCATTAAATGGATTAGTTATCTCATTTTGCTATTGAAATAACTTCTTAAGTGTTTTTTTATCCATTCTATATCTGTAATCTTTCCATCCCCTCAAGTTTAAGGTAGTACAAGACCAATAATAAAAGAATGGGAGTTCAAAATTAATATGTGGTTGTGTTTTCAATATTTACTGTAATTTATTTATTGATCTTTTTGTTAAAAAGAATTGAACTTAATCTTGGCAAGTTCAAAGTCCACATTTTTCCTATGTTATATGAGTCAAAACTCAATAACTCACTTTGGCCGCATTATGCAAGTAAAAATGATGAAAAATATATAAGAAAAAAACACTTTTTAAATTCTGAACTTTTTCCAACCAGTCATAATCTCTATGAATATTCTCAGGAGAGTTAATATTTTAGATCATAAAACTTTATCACTTTCAATCTTGTTAATAAAATATTAGTTTGTGAATCTATTTTGGAACACATTTGATGCAGGCGGACTTGCTGATACTAAAGGTTATATGCCATAGGATATGGATATGTTATCACTAGAAATGAATTTGCCACAAATAAACTACATGGATCAACTAATATATGTTTTTATTAATTATTAGGATAGGGTTCCATCCAAGAAGAGGTGTGATTAGACTAAAATCAATAAAAAGTTTGGTTATATCAAAATAATATAGTAATTAAAAGAAATTATAATTTTTAATCCGATATTACATCCAACTAGTTTTTTAAAGGATCATTTTGCTAGTCTATTTACGGTGTAGATTTCCTCAAATTGTGCTTAGAAGTTACTATTAAAGTCAATTTTCCTTTATTTTTCTAGATTTCATGTTTTATTTCAGATTTTCTATTATTTTCTTTTATGTTTTAGAATTTTGGTTTTATTACATAGTAAGGGTCGGTTTTCCAGCCTATTTTTATAAATTATAAAACTCTTTAAGAGGCAGACTTTTTTATTTTTATTTTTTATAGAATAAAATTGTAAGTTTAGGGTTGTGTTCGAAATACTTTTCGCTCATTAATTTTGTCTTTTCATACTGAAGTTGAAGTGAAATTTGGAAAGCTGGAGGTTCAAAATTCATCTAGTTAGGGGGCGTTTGTTTTTTCTGAAGTGAAAAATGTTAGGGATATATTCAGCTATAAATTCATGCCAAAATACATTTCAGTTATGCTGGTAAATTTTCTATTACACCTTTCTTGTAGCATTTTGTCTAAATTCTGGTGACCCTTAAGAACATAAAAATTGCCATCGAATTTTATTTTAACAGGCTTTATGCGTCCCCTTGAAGGCAACTAATGCTCTTGCACTCTTCTCTAACATCTGCAGTTACACAGAACTGTCAATTTCCTTTAGAAATTAAGAAATCATATTTCTTTCATTAACATCCTTTGATTTGTGAAGAAAGAAGCGGTGCTTCCAAATCAGCTTTGCAATTCTTCTTCTCTGGAGACTCATCTATTAAGAGTTGCACAGGTGACTGATCATTTTGCAGCTGCGGATGCATCTCATTTTTAATCTCTTCAAGGTCTTTGGCTTTACCCCATAGCACAGCGTACAAACCAATTATCACAGCTAAAGCACCAATCAAACTGAAGAGTAAAAAAAAAAAAAGAAATTCTTACTCTTCTTTGATAAACCAGGTTCTATGTCACAAAAGTTGAACATGATAAAATTGTTTGGTGGAAAAGATATTACCTTCCAGCATATGTCTCCTCGTGTAAAACTACAGCAGAAAAAATGCCAACAATAACTGTGCATAGAGGATTGAACATTGCAGAGAAGAGGGGACCTCTCTGAGAAATTACCCAGGCTTGGACAAAGAAAGACACAGCCAGTCCAATTCCCTTTTAGCAAGAAAAAAAAGGTCCATTTCCAAGATTAGAAGCAAAAACAATCTGGAAACAATCATAGAAAAACAGAAAACAGCTTACCGCATACAAACAGGAAGCAATTTCAAGATGAGTAATCAGCTTCCAGGACGTAAGATCCTTTTCCGCCAATAATGCAATCATTGATGATTGCAATGATGCGAGGAAACACATCCATGCAGAAGAATATAAGTGGTCAGGACAACTTGCTGAAATAGGTACCTGTAGGAAAATTGAAGAAAAAATTTAGTTGTCAGAATATACATTGATCTATAAGTAACGGAAAGGGAAAGGGAAGGTGTTTACCTGCAAGACCATCCATAGTGACCAGAAACAACTGCTTCCAAACAGAAATAGACACCCCAATAGCCAATTGTCGCTTCCAGGGCTAAAAAAGGATTTTGTTGGTAACAATTCTGTGTTTAACAGCTTAGGACCTTTGAGTAATGCCATGGCAATGGCCCCGCTTACGCAGATTACTGTTCCAAGAATCTTAGAAATAGTTCTCAGGCTTCGTATATTAACTTTCTCCAATCTGATTCATTTGTAATTAGAGATTCGGGAAACATGTAGAATTTAGAAAACAGACATCCACTGAAAAAAGAAAAAGAAAAGATAACTAGTAATTTCTTAATAGCAAAGATCACCAGGCCTTAAACAAGTACAAGTTTCTATTAGGTTATTGTTTGATTCAAAAGAGTGTTAGCCTGATAGAAATTGGTCAAGATTTTCTGTACCAAATTTCCAATACAATAAGAGGAGGAAATCAGCAGAGCTATAGCTTGGAGCTTATTCCCACACTGCCTAGAAGAGAAATAATGTCCATATGTGGGAATTATAAAAAGCAGCTAGCAACGTTCATTGGTATACTTTTCTCGGCTTTTTGGCTAAGATCAAGTGAAAGTATTTGTTCTTATCATTTTAATATCTGATACTTGGCCTTAGGTCCACATGGTATTAGCTTAATATTTTAAAGGGAAGAGCCCATCAATGTAGGTTGCTATTGGACATTACGAGCATTGCCCCTGCGTTGCACTACAGCAAGGGCCTGGCACCATAATGGTATTAGTTTTTTTATCTAGCAAGTATAAGTTACCCAGAAATGGCTGCCATTACAAAAGTGATTGCAGGCATGAGATTAGTCAAGGCACTTGCTGCAGTCGAAGAGGATAAGTAGAGGCCTTCAAAATAAGCGTTTTGATTGGCAGTTACCCTGCAAGGCAAAGTTGCATCTGTCATTTATTCTTCTTATATATGAAACCGTGACAACAAAAAGGAGGGATAAAAAGTTTAGGACACGTACCCCAAAAGGGAGGCAGCAAATATCCAAGCAAAACTCCTTAACCCCAAAGAGAACCCACTTGAACTTCTTCTGCTGATTATCAAATGTAACTTTTGAGGAAATGATGATATGCAAAGTATGAGAGAAATTATGGGTGTGTTAGGGTTTGTGTGATTAATTACCTCCTCGAAACATACGCTAGAGGGGCCATGATCAAAGTTGCTATGCCTTGCCTGTAGACTACGAAGACCATGGGACTCAGTCCTCCTACAAGAGCAGCTCTAGTAAATAGAGCCACCCCTGCATAAATGAATTGTAAACCAACCATTCCCATAGCAGGCTTGTAAGCATCAAACCCACCCATGTTAGTTTAGCTTGGGGACTAGATTCCCAATGGCAACAACGTACGTACAAATAGAAAGAGATCTGAGGGCAGGCGAGTTATCAGAACGTGACAGGCTTGGATCAGGAGATAAGGTTCGGCTACAGACAGAACAATAGTAACATAAAACCAAATAAAAAAAAGCCAACATGTGTAAGTACTCCATTGCTTCATCACGGCCTTTATCTTCAAAAGTTCCATTGCACATCAATTCAACCATTTGTCTATCTTTAGGTGTTAACCCTTCATAGAAATGTGAAACCAATCTCCATGTTTCAAAACCATGATGAGGGCAAGTACTAAGCAAGTCTCGATACCTATCCCAACATTGGTAAAATGTTTCTCCTGGTTTTTGAGTGAAAGTGGTGATTTGTCTTTTGAAAGAATTTGTTCTCTGAGATGGGAAAAACTTTTTTAAAAACTGTTGTTGCATTTCATCCCAAGCACGAATGGATCCTGGTCTTAAATTTTGTAGCCATGTTTTAGCTTTATCTTTTAATGAAAAAGGAAAAAGCTTTAATCTGATGGTGTTCATGCTACAATTTAAATTATTATATGTGTTGCAGACCTCTTCAAATTCCCTTAAATGCAAGTATGGATTTTCCAATTCTAAACCATGAAAAGAAGGTAAAAGTTGAATAATACCTGGTTTAAAATTAAAATGAGATGCATCAGGAGGAAAAACTATGCATGATGGTGCACTTGTTCTTGTGGGATTCATGTGGTGTCTAAGTGTTCTAGCACGGTTATTCTCATTATTTTCATTATGAAGTGATTGATTATCTTCTTCGGCCATATTTTCTAAAAATGATGAGGATATCCTACAAAGTCTACCACTTGATGTACGTGACCACACTCTCATGCACGTGTAGGAATAAAATAAAAAAGAAGAAGAAAGCAAAAGAAGGAGGAAGAAAACAAAATAAAAAGAAACAAAAGAAAAGAAACAAAGTTATATACAACAAAAGTGAAAAGAAAAAAAATAAAATAAATATTATAATTTATACAAAACTTACCTCCCCGGCAACGGCGCTAAAAACTTGACATGACTAAAAGATTGATGTCTTCTCCCAAGTGCAGGAGTGTCGAAGTAATAAATAACCCGGCAAGACCAGGGTCGAACCAGAGGGAGGTTATTTGTACAAATTATAAATAACAATAATACAACAACAATAACAATAACAATAACAACAACAACAATAATAATAATAACAATAATGTAGTAGTAGTAGTAGTAGTAGTAGTAGTAGTAGTAGTAGTAGTAGTAGTAGTAGTAGTAGTAGTAGTAGTAGTAGTAGTAGTAGTAGTAGTAGTAGTAGTAGTAGTAGTAGTAGTAGTAGTAGTAGTAGTAGTAATAATAATAATAATAATAAAGAAAGAGAAGAAGAAGAAGATGATGAGAACTTGGAGATGGAAAATTAATGTAAAGATTAAACAATAATAATAACAAATGTCAAGGTTAGAGGTTCCACTAATGGTATATCAAACAAGTATAGTATAAACTCTTATTATTGAATTGGAAACCACACACAAAGGAGGTTCCAATCAGAGTATATATTGTTAACATGATTACATTAGTCATCTTATTCAATTAATGCTAATACTTGTAAATCTCGTCAAGCATTCATGATTATAACTTATGTTAACAACAAATCAAGTTCCTTTCATAGCTCAGGTGTCGGTTATACCATACATTATGGGCTATGAAAGTGCCAAGCATTTGTTGTACCAAGTGTTATACAACATAAATCAAGATTAGTCATTTAACAAGCAAAGTATTAAAGAGTGAACAAGATAACAAATATAAAACATGTTAGTATCAAACATTAAAGTCCATATTAAGTTTACATTATACTTATTCTTACACCATTAGTGTAACCTTTTCACCTTGACATAACTAACTTAGCTAGACATAATGAAAGAAAGCAAAATAGATAAACAAAATAAGAACATAAAAGTTAACTAAGTAAAGGAAAGGAAATGAAAGGCATAAACTTAATATTAATGAAAGCAAAGCATAAAAAATACAAAGAGAGAAAGGAAGAGCATGATCTTGATCTGGAAACCAAGATGCCTAAATGCATGGCAAATGCCTCCTTTTATAGACCAAAATTGGGAACTATTGATTTGATGACTAATTGATAAGTGGGTGGCCAACTTTTGACTTGGTGACAATCCTTATCTTCTCTTGTCTGCCCAAAATGTCATTGATAACGTCAAAATTGGAGCCAGTTGCAAACATGAAAGTTGTAGGCAATTGTCTCATCTTTCTTGTGTAAAAGATTCAGCTCATTTGGACTTCTAGAACTCCAGATATGGCCAAAATACCAAACAGTGCTCGGGCTGGAAAACAGATTCGGGCTTCTTTGTTGTTGCTACAATTTGGACTTGATAATGGCCTTTTTAGATCTTGGGCTCCATATAAAAGTTGTAGGCCTATGTCTTACCTTTCCATCCATATAAATTGGACCTAAATCTGAGATATATAGCTCTAGATATGACCCAATTACCGAATAGTGTTCCGGTTTGGATTGCACCGACATCTCTTTTCTAAGTTTGACCATCTCTTTATCCTTGCAATTTAAGTTCTTCAAGTCATCAATCAATCCTTTCATTTATGTGATAGGCCTGCATTAAAAATAGACATTTACCACAAATTATAGGTATCTTATATTATTAGATACATTATTATAAAACATATTTTAGTTAAGGAGTTATTGATACTTCAAGTGCAAAATGATGATATAAAACCATGATAAAAATGCACTTTTAAGTACTAATCACACCCCCCAACCAGCTTATTACTAGTCCCTAGTAATCAAAGCGTAAAATAGAAAAACAATTTGCAAATTCCACAAAGCAAGGTATTCATCATTTAACTTCCATTAATCTATCCAGATAATTTAGTTAATGAGTTATTGATACTTCAAGTGCAAAATGATGATATAAAACCATGATAAAAATGCACTTTTAAGTACTAATCAATATTCATTATCATTTATCAACGTCCATACAAATTAAGTAAGCTTTATCATGCCCGAATCTTCCTTTTCCATTTTAACTGTACAAGAAATTCAATTTACACAACCAAGGCTCTGATACCATTTTGTTTGGAAAAACTAGGAACAACCGGACACCAATTTATCCGGATCAATTTAGCGGAATACAATTCACAAGTCCTAATTCTTTCCCTCTTTGTGCAGTAAAATCAAAATTAAAAAATGACCAAATATAATGCAAATAATCACAAAATTAACACCAAGATTTTTAACGTGAAAAACTCGATGCGGGAAAAACCACGGGACCGTACTCCACCTAAAAACTTCCACTATCAACAAATAATGGGTTCACAATCATTCTTTCTCAGATTCAACTAAGGGATACAATATATATATCATCAAGAACAACTTATTCTCGGATTACAACAAGATTAAAGGAGAATTATTTGAGAAAAACTCACAATACTGACAGCCCTGTTTTCTATCAAAATAGCTAGTTTCCACACAACCAATTTTCGATCCAACCGTCCAGAATGAAGAGTAACATGTCTAGAAGCTGCTGTCAAAATCTAAGCTCGATCCAACGGTGAACGAGCTAGAAATCAAAGAAAGAACACATGCTACTCTGCTGCCTCTTCTTCTCTTTTTCTCTCTCGGTTTTCTTCTCCTTTCTTCTGTTTTTCAATTATGCCGCTACAGTACCCGAACCACGTTAATTTTAATACCAAGAGACAGTGATGTTGTCTTGTGAAAATTAATGTGATGGTCTGGTGTGGGACCACACACAACACTAATTAGCCATTTATACTTGTTTCTTTCTGGTGACAACTAATCGATTTCTTCATAAAGATAATAAATTTTCGTTAAGACATTCCAAGGTGTTATTTACCTTGCCGTGTAAACCATTTCTTTTTGAAAGATAGCAGCTAAGGTGGTCACAATAACAGAACACAGGGGGCTGAACATTGCTGAGAAGAGCGGACCCCTTCGTGCAATGCACCTGGCTTGAAGAACAATGATGCTTGCAGAAGCAATCCCCTTGGTCATCGTAGCATCGTAGGTTCTTATCAGAGAAATTTAGATAGATCATGGAAGGCTACGGTTACAATTTAATTTCAACTAACAAAACATGTGCATCAAGACAAGAGTACAGAGAGAGTATGACTACATACTACGTAGAGTAAACAAGCGTACTCAAGATTTGAATGTGGTTTCCATGCTTGTGGATCTGTCTTTAAGAAGATGGTAACTGCTGTTGTTTGTATGGATCCAAAGAAACACATCCAAGCAGTAGAGAGTAAGGGATCAGGACATCTTGCTGATATTGGGACCTGTCCAGAATTTCAGTGAAAGGAGTTGGATTTGTGATTTCAGTAATGCCAGACTGACATGAAGATAACGTATAGAGGAAATACCTGCATTATGGTCCAAATTGCCCAGCAACTACTGTTTCCTAAAAGGATGAGTGAACCCAGCAGCCAAGTCTCACCACTAGAGCCACTGGAAGATTTTGTTGCTACGATTCCTTCGTTAAGTAGTTTTGGCCCTTTGAGCAATGCCATGGACATGGCTCCACTAACACTGATAACTGTCCCTATTATCTTCGCGTTACTTCTCAAGCTGCGGATATTAACTTTCTCCATTCTGATAAATTAGAGACATGAAGACTTTCAATATTTCAATAGACAGTCAGTTGCATGCCCGATTTTGTTGGTTCGTGAAGATTTTTCATTTCTTTTGTTGCATTATGTCGTTTACCTTAATCATTGAATATGGATTGTTCTGACTATATGACTGTATAACTGAACAAGTTTAGATCAAAAGAACAAAGAGTTGTCTGGATATAACCTATAGCTGCTGTAAACACAAAAGTGAGTCCAGGTACTAAATTAGACATTGTGCTTGACATTGTTGAAGAAGATAAGGAGATGCCTTCAAACAAGGCAATTGGGTTGATTGTTGGGCTACAAATGAGAAAGATCAGATCATGTTTTCAGTGGATCTCACCACCTCTTCACACACAAAACTAAAATTCAAAGAGAAATCTACCCAAGCAAAGCAGCTATATATAACAATACAAATTCTTTTAGTCCCAGAGAAATTGTACTGGACGCTCTCCTGTCAACAAAAGCAAGAAATATGAGAAAACACTTCGAAAATATTATATATATTTTTTCCCCAATTAAAGGAAGGGAAACTGACAGAGATAAGATAGATGTTAATTACCTTCTAGAGAAATAAGCCATTGGTGCTATGACCAAGGCTGCAGTGGCCTGCCTGTAGACTGAAAGGATTTCAGGACTTAATCCTCGTGAAAATGCTGCTGCAGAAAAAATAGCTACTCCTGCTTCAAGAACCTGTACTCCCATCATAGCCATCACAGGCTTGTAACTATCTATCACATTCATGCTAAATTCTTAACAGATCAATGGGGTAATTCATTCTCTGTAATATCAAAATATGCCCAATTATACATCAGTATTCTCATCTAGGAATGCAATTTTGGTATTTATATATGCTGATGTAAGGTAGGTAGTTGAGATACGCATCTAATCGACTCTCAGTAAAGGTTTCAAATGAAATCAACATAAGAAACAAATATATGGCAAGTCCATTAACACTAGCACAACGTCAACAAGTTTTCTTATTACGTTCATGCATATCCCAATATATACCATAGTTGCCAATAACCTAGTCAAATTCACGGATGACAACATTGCTCTTATTTGCGTGCCCATAGCACCGTCTGCTGATGTAATGTAGTTGGTCGACATACGCATCTAATCTGCTTCTCAGCAACGGTTTCAAATGAAATCAACAAAAGAAGCAAATATATGGCAAGGCCATTAACACTCACACAATCGGGCTCAAGAACCTGACGCAATGAAGGCGAAGGATATAAAGTTTTTTACGAGTCAAAACCCTTAAAATAGAAAGAGAAGACAGCTAAAATATTCAATTATATACATTCTTCACTTGCCAAAAGCGATTATAACCCTATATATATGGAATAAAAAACTAAAACGTCTTGATAATACTAAATGAAAAAAGATAGACTAGAAAAAATATTTCTTAAAATAGAAAGAAAAAATAGAAAAGTATAATAATAAAAAATTGAAAATAAAAATAAAAATTTTTTCCCCAAAAAAACTCCTACATCAAAACCGCTAGATAAAATATAGAATAAAATAATATAAATTAAAATCCAATAATAATAATAATCAAATTAAATAAAAAACCCTTGACCAAAAAGTGATTGATTCAGCTATCTTTTGTTATGTATGTCTGTAAACTTAAGTGTAATATGTGATATGAGTTTGGTGTTTTTATCAACTCTGTTACCATCAAATATAATTCTAAGTAGCTTCGAAATATTTCAATAGATAATAATTCATTTATTGCAATGTATTTTTAATAATTCAAATATAATCTAATAAGGTTGTCTCATAAAAAAACTACAAAATTATGAAACCTCACAATCATTTATAAAAACTTGTTAATTTATATGAAATAGCATCAATATATTTTCTTTGGGCAGGGATAAGGGTGTAAAAAAATCTAAAAGATTTATTGCTATTTCACTGTACATCAATAGACAATTTACTATTTAATAGGGCACGAATAACATAAAACAAGCAGCAGAAAAAAAAAAAAAAAGGAAGAAGAAGAAAACCCCATTACACTTTTCACCCTGTAGATTTTAATAGAAACATGATGCAGCTCTGAATTTTCTTTCCTGAAAATACGGGGACACAAAGTTGATGGGTACAAAATTACAACTCACTCTGCATTTCCTTCAATTTCTCTAGAAAAAGAGGGGCAAAAAATAATTACAAATATTACATTACAAATAAAACTTAAAGGAACCTAAAAACATTATACATATAGAAAGTTAGAGAGAGCATTAAGGAGAAGCAAATGAAAACTATTTAGAAGCCTGGCATGAGGTTTAACATTCCTTATTTTCTATGTAGCCATATAAACGCATACACACCTTCTTTTTCATGACTTTTGTTCCCTGCAAAAATTAGCTCATTTCCTCCTGAAAATTGGATAGAAAATGTAGATCATTTCTTGGTTTTTTCGCATCCATTTACTCAGGTAAAAATCCTATATGGAGAGATTACAAGTATTTATAAAAAGATTTACGTGATAATTATATAAGTGACTCTTAGACATGAGATTATATTATATAGAGAATATTATGTTTATATATTGTCATAATTAAAAGTAAAATATAGACATATATTAGATATAATATGAACTATATAAAGATATTTAACTAATCAAGGGAGGATTCACTATCCTAAGTTAATTAAATAAAATGTTTTATTTATTATCAAATAGTATTGATTGTAAATTTTTGTGCAAAATAGAATGAGATTTGAAAATGTTTTTAATTTTATTCAAATAATCAATAACTGTGATATTGAGAACAAACATGATTTAATAGAGTAAACACATTTTATGCTATAATGTTTAAATTGAAACATTGTTAATGAAAATATAATAATTATATTGAGAAAATGGTTACTGAAAAATTAAATGAAACCACTTATGATTTTTCTAATATTTAGATAATCAAAATAGGTTG